CATCAACAGATATAAATAATTGATTCAAGAGTGAATGAAATCGTTGAGATATCTTATTAATTGTTTGTACATTGAATAAATCGACTGATGCATTGATTGTGCATGAGAGTTGATTGGTATTGAGATCATGTTGAATTATAAGGGAGAAATCATACTTATTTATAGTTTTATTATCATTAATGTTCATTGTAAAAGGTATTGAACAAAGTTGACTATCACCAATCACTATTAGTTTACTGCCAACTGTTATCATAGATGATAGAAATTCGAATGATGTATCAAGAAATACAGGTTTTGAAATATTCGAATATTGATTGAGAATACGTTGAAGAGGAAAATATGAATATCTCACACTATTGGTTGCTATCTCTCGAACAGAATCAAGTAGATAATGGAAAGACCAACGAGACTTTAATTGACATCTCAATGGAATAACATTCTCAAACAGTCCAATTATAGATTTAAGTTCATCTCTATAACGATTGTCTACATTCATTGAAATACATAGATCTTTTTCACCATTCGTTAATTTAAATAAGAAGATAAAGTAAGTAGCAAGTGCTAGATATTTATGTTTGATATTGTGTGATGATGCATAAAGAAGAAAATTATGAGAAAGATCTTGACCAAAATAGAATGAGACAGATGTTCCACGACCAGTTCGATGTTCATTCAAAAGTCGATATCGATCATATGGTAATGATAAAGATTGATCGAGTTTACAATCATGAAGAGCATCAAGCCAAAACATACTTGCACCAGTCATGGACATTTGATGTTCGATAATAGCATCTAAATAAGAAGAAAGAGAAATAGTGTGTTATTAAAAAAAACAGAAAAGATATTTGTGTTTACAATCGAGATAACGTAGAAGAGTGTTATCATTGTCAGACAAGAAATGTGCTGTATATGCTTGATTTAGATCACGAAGAAAGATTTGCATTGACGGAAAATCAAATGAAGCATGATGAAAATTGAAAATAAGTATATCTTTGTCAGAGATGAGATTATTTGGAGAGATTTCTTTGTAGTAAACAACATGACATCGGAAGACAACTCCATGAGAAAGATCGAAAAGATAAGGATTACCCTTTTCTTCATGCATAATCGAATTAAGTTGTTCATCTGTTTGAAAAACACTTTCAGTGAATGTATAGAATTGGTTGTTGGTGTTATTAATATCGTTGACTCGTTGTATGAGTAGATTCTTTTCTGTATCAAAGATAAGTGATGTATGAAGTGATTGGTGTTTGATTATAAGCAGATGAAGAGCATGACGAAGTTGTCGTTTTGATAAAGAATGTTGATTTATGAGACGGTAAAGAAAAGGCATATTGTAGGTGGCTGTTTGTGGTTTGTCAGGATGAAAACGAATTCTTTCATCAAGCCAAATACGAGCTTGTACAAATGATGCTGGTGCTATATGAAAGAGAAAGCAATCAAATATAATTAATCATAGTGCTTATGAAATCTATTTTGTGTCAGTTTTAATCATTATCGAATTATTCTGCAAACGGAACTTTTAAACAGTATAAATAATGTTGTTGTTCATGAGAGGCAGATGTTCTGTTATATCGATCATTCATGAAAAACTTAAAATAAATAGATAAATGAAATAGGTCGTCATGATGCTTTTGATATGTCGTTAGTGGCATTTTCTTTTGAATGCGTAAGTGTTTCTAACCGTTGGGCTATGGAAACGTTTTTCACAACTTAGTAACTTGTCGAAAAAA